TTCTTCTTTCCTCCTCTCTCCCTGTCTCCTCTGTCTTTATTTTCCTCTCTCATCTTCTTGCCTCCCCCCCCCCTCCCCCTCCCCCCGCGCCAGGAAGTCAACTTTCCATTCTCCCGCCGCCGGGCTGCATGGAGGTCCTCCTTTCACTGCCCCTCCCTCTCCTCCCTCCTGTTTTCCCCTCCCACTCCCTCCTCCCATCCCCTCTCCCCCTCTCCCACTTCCCTCCTCTCCCCTCTCCCTTCTCCCCTCTTCCCCTCCCTCTCCTCCTCCCATCGTTCCCACTTCCCGCTCTCCCTGCCTCCCACTTCCTCCTCCCTCTCCTCCTCTCCCTCTCCCTCCCCTCCCTCCCTCTCCCTCCAACTTCTCCTCCCTCTCCCTCTCCTCCTCTCTCTCTCCTCCCTCTCCCCCTCTCCCACATCTTCTCCCTCTCCCCCCAACCTCCCCTTCACCCCCTATTACGGCATCGGTGTCATTACAGCAATCGTGTCACGTTCTGATCTCACCGCATTTCCTCCTCCCTCCCCCCCCCCCCCCCCACCCCTCCTTCTCCCTCTTCCAGTAGTCTCTCTTTCGCCCTCTCCCACCCATCCATCTTCCCTTCCTGATTTTCTTTCTTCGTCTTCCCCCTTATCTTTTTTTCTATCTTGTAATCCTCATCTCTCTTTTCCTCGTTCTCCTCGCTAGTATGATATTCCCTGTTTTTCTCTCTCTCTCTCTCTCTCTCTCTCTCTCTGCTCTCTCTCTCTCTCTCTCTCTCTCTCTCTCTCTCTCTCTCTCTTCTCTCTCCTCTCTCTCTCTCCTCTCTCCCTCCCTCCCTCCCTCCCTCCTCCTCTCCCTCCCTCCCTCTCCCTCTCTGTCTTTCTGTCTCTCTCTCTCTCTCTTTCTGTCTCTCTCTTCTGTCTCTGTCTCTCTCTCTCTCTCATTCTCTCTCTCTCTCTGTCTCTCTCTCTCTCTCTCTCTCTTCTCTCTCCTCTCTCTCTCCTTTCTTTTTTTCTCTCCTCCTCTCTTCCTCTCTTCGCCTCGGGTCGTGGTTGCATTATTTTCAGCCGCTGTGACCTCCCCACCTGCCGCTGTGGCCCGGAGATTCAGCACTCGGGGTCTGAGGCAAGCTCTTCCCTCCTTTCTTCTCTCGTCTCTCTTCTGGTTCTCTTTCTCATTTTCCCTTCCCTTCTGTTTCTCTCTCCCCTTCTCCTCCCGTTCACTTCTTTCCTTCTTTTCCCTTCTCTCTTTCCTCTCTCTTCTTCTTTCCTCCCTCCCTTCTCTCTTCTCCTCTTTCTCATTTCTTCTCTTCTCTTCCCTTCTCTCTCTCTCTCCTGTTTCTCTTGTTTATTCCCCCTGTACTTTTTCTTTGTTCTCTCTTTTCTCTCTCGTGTGTCTTGTCTCTCTTCTTTGCTCATTATTGGCTCTCTTCTCTCGTCTCTTTTCTTCTCCTTGCCTTCTTCCCTGTCTTCATTTCTCCTATCTCTTTTTCTCTTCTTATTTATTTTTTCTCCGTATTTTCTACCCTCCCCCTTACTCTCCTCTCTCTAACACTCTGTTTTAATATTTTTCATCGCTCTGTCTACCTGTCTGCCTATGTCTCTTCTTGTGTTTTCTTGTTTGTCTGTCTGCTTATGTGTCTTCTTGTACTTTCTAGTCTGTCTATCTTTTGTCATCTCTGTTGCTTCTTGTCTGTCTATCTCTTGTCTCTGTCGGCCTATGTGTCTTGTGCCATCATTTTTTTGTCTTCTTGTACTTTCTAGTCTGTCTATCTTTTGTCTTCTTGTCTATCTCTCTTCTTGTGTCTTCTTGTCTGTCTATCTTGCCTATCGTTTGCTCAGCACAGGAAATGGGGAGGTGCATTGCCGCTGAGCACGGGAAGTGGGGCGACGTATTCCTGCTCATGGAAATAGCTGGCGCGCTGCTTGTCTTCCTTCGGGCCTGGGAATTATAAATGAGGGAAGGGAATCCTCTTAGCATGCGTGCTCGCTCTCTCTCGCCCTCTCTCTCTCTCTCTCTTCTCTCTTTCCTGTCTGTCTCTCTGTCCTTCTGTCCCTGTTGTCTGACTGTCTCTCTGCTGTCTTTCTGTCTCTCTCTCTCTCTCTCTTCCATACATCCGTCCTATATTTTTTCGTTCTCATTTTCTTCTTCTTCGCCTCCTTTTCTGTTTTTCTTTTATCCCCCTCTTCACCATGAACATTTTGCTTGTCCGCACCTGCTGTCATATGCCCTCCTGCTCCCCCTCCCCCTCCCCTCCCCCTCCCCCGCCTCTTTCCTACCGCCAGCACAGCCCCCCCCCCCAGCCCCCCAGCCCGCCCGCCAACCCGCATTTAAGGTTAATTAACATTAACATCCTGCCCCGCTCTTTCTCCTCGGCGCTTTCCTTCCTCCCTTTAGGCTTGCGCTCGCGAATTTCGTTTTGAAGAATCGCTAGTTTTTTTCATCTTTTTTTTTTTCTTTTTTTTTGGATCGTTATTATTATTATTATTTTATTTTATTTTTATTTATTTATTTATTTTTGTTTTCTTCTCGATTGAAAATCATGTGTAATGTTTTAAAAGGGAACGAAAATATGATTTTGGATTATACATATACATTGCGCATCCCGACCGTCCGTTTTCCGCCGGGCAGCCGAGGAGCGCCGAGGCCGGAGAGGTTATTGAATTTCAGCCGAGATGCCGCCCGCACGCAGCCGGAAGCGGGCGGCCTCGCTGCTGTACGTACGATACGTACATGCACGCGCCGTACTTGCTTAGGCATACGGACGTACACGGACGTACATGCGCACTCATCGCACATAAATGCATACGTGCACACATACATGCATGTGTACATGTATACATACATACATACACACATACATACATGCACATACACAAACATACATACATACATACACACACAACATAACACATACACTTACATACATAATACATGCATACACATACATACATGCATATACAATCACATACATACAACATCGCATACAACATATACATACACATACATACATGCAATACATACATGACATACATACAAACATAGATACATACGCATACATACATACACACACACATCACATAAATACACACACACACATACATTCACATACACAGACATACACACTACATACACGT